CAGCTGCTCAAGTGTGTCAGTGAGTCCGGCATGGCAGCCCAGAGCGATGGGGACACCATCCTCCTCAATTGCCTGGAAGCATTCAAGAGAATCCCCCCCCAGGTAAGCTCACTCCAGTGTCTTCTCTTGGTCTCCTAGGACTGCTCTAACAAGGACCACAACCAGACAGTTACTCTGCTCACAGTTTAGGATGCTAGACCTCTCCATTCAGGTGCTGGCTCTTGGAGAAGGCTTTCTCTGGCAGCTCTGGGAGAAGGTCCATAGCCCTTGGTGATCATCAGGCGGCTTGGCCCCTGGCTTTCTCCATCTCTGCTTGCCTCCTTGATTGCTTCATCTCTCTACTGTCTCATAAGAGATCAATCCGTACAGTCATCCTGCCTCATGAGCATAACAGGGACAGCCGGTCCCCAAATGAGATTATAACCATAGGCGTATAGGTTAAGATTTATAAGACATAGTTTTGGGGGGCAGATGGAGAGGCATACAATTCAATCCATAACAACCTCACACACTCACTCACTTTCTGTTTCCAACACTACCTCAAGTTCTATAGGATAGCCTTCAGACCCCTGTACAAGAACAGTCTTACCCAATCAACGCTTCTCTGCAGTGTCCAGTCCATGGTGATACCTCTGTACCCAGAACCCGTCACTCCATGTCCCATCGGTTAATATTGCTTAAACCTACGTATCTCTCATGCCCCACAGAGCTGAGCCACTCCTTGTGTTTCAAAACATGCTGCTTGCAAAATTGCCCCGAGGGGCATCTTTGTGGGGTGAATGGAACCATGCCCATGTGTGAGAACCAAGGACAGGCCTCTTGGAAGCTGTGCCTTTTCGTCAATTCTCCCAAGCTATGTTACCCTTTAGATTTCCTGTGACCCTCTTAAACCAGGGCTTCTGTTTCAAAAGAAGAGTCAAGAGTCAGGCAGACTCTTAATTAGAATAGCCAAGCTGAGACTGGATGGGGGCCTGGCTTCCGGCTGGGGGGCTCACCTCCCTCTGACCCCGGCTGTGTTTCTCTTCTGAACAGGAGCTGGAGGGCCTGATCCAGGCGATCCGCAACGATGACAACAAGGTGAGCAGATCTATCCCCCATGTGTCTTTCCGCCCGGCTCTCCACGTCAGCACCATAGCCTTGTAGCCCGGCTTCTTTGGTTTCCCGAGGTGGAACTGATTCTCAGATAGGGCTGCAGAAAAGAGGGAGCAGCTAGGGGACTATGTGAACACCAACTACATGAACCTCCGCCTTCCTGTTCTCTTATCCCCAAGACAAAGGTGTCCTCAGCTGCCCCTGAGCTTGCTTTTCATTCTGAGATATTGTCTTCCTCACCAGTGTTGTTGGGGTGATGAGTGGAACGAGGTTCCCAGATGGGCAAGTGCTTCAAAAAAAAATGGAACAGCAGACTTAAGGTGCTGTTCATTAGCACCTTACCCTGAGGAATGTAGGGTACCTTCTGCTGTAAGAAATGCCCACTCAACCTTTAGGCCTTCTTCCTTCTGCAATATCCAAAGGAGATCCTATGGACATGAGAGAGGAATGCTGTTCACATTCTGACATGTGGAGACTCGCTTCCCAAGAACGGGAATGTCCGTTGGTGACTCGTTCTCCATGCTGAGCCTCTCCTCCAAGGCCAAGACGCTCTTTCCCTACAGGCAGAAACTGGCCAGCCTTTGCCTTTGAGATGGGTGCCAGCCAAGATGAAATTACTACCTGCTGCCCATTTGGAGGCTACCCACGGAATCAGTCCTCCTGCCCTGCACCAAGAGAGGCACAAAAAACCAAGGCCGACTTTGAGCTGTCCTGGCCACCATCCAGGGAATGACAGGACAAATGAGTCCCTCACGTAGAAAATCAATATCAGAGGCGAACAGCTCCGGAGACCACTGCAGAGCTGCTGTGGCTACACTGCTTAGACCTGGACTGAGTTTTCAGGGTATTTTTCAGTTGAGTAGTGTGTCGGGCTGGGTTGTCTAGAGAAACAAACCCAGTGGCACTCGTGTGCATAGAAGGGAGAACTTTATATCAAGAAGTAATTTCCCATCAAGAAGGCATCCCAACCCAGTCCAACTCAAGTTCATAGGTCCGATCTAGCCAGAGCACTGTTCAGATTCACATAGCTATCAGCCAATGCTGCAGGAAGGGGAAGCGAGATGCAGGAAGCTCACAGGCCAGTAGGTGCATAGATCCAAAGTCAGTGGAAGCACGATGGCGCTGACAGCTCCCATGGTTGGGCGGCCCACGTGGGGCCACCCGTGGAAGCAGACAGAGAATCCCAGCAAGCAGGAAGGCAAGGTGGCAAAGAGCAGCTCCCAGTGTTTCTCACTCTTACACAAAGGCCACACCCCCAAGGACAGTTTGGGCTCTACCCCTACCCATTCCCACAAATTCAAGTCGGCATAAAATCTAACTACCACAAGTGGGAAGAACATCGTCTAAACATCTCTTCATTTACTACTGCAATCTCCAAATGAGATATGACGGAAATAACAGGAGATGCTCTGAACGTGGAGAATCACTTCCCGAGCACCAGAATGAGAAACCAACAGCCAGGACTGGTGGCCGGGTCCCTGGTTCCCAGTCTGCCGTCCTTTCCTGAGACTTCCCTGAACTTCACACTCCGTGGGAGAGGGAGACACAGCACTAAAACCAATACGGTTGTTCCCACCTTTCTGCCTTTTCTCTGCAGCTGCTTCGCGTGCTCTCAGTCTGACCCCAGACCAGCTTTACTCGGCTCCCATTGCAAACTAGGAGCTCTAGTGGTGAGGTGGTTACGAGCTTGTCTGTCAACCTCAAGATTGGTCGCTCGAACCCACTAGCAGGAGAAAGAGTGGCAGTCTGCTTCCTTAGAGAAGCATGGTGCCGTCCTGAGTCAGTTCTGGGCTGTCCGATAGGGTCACTGAGTCAGAACTGACTGCATGGCAACAAGTTGCTAAACTGTGTCCTTCTCCTGATGGGCTTTTGCCCTGGCAGTGTGTGATCAACATTAACACATTTGTGATATGCGTGTAACCTACATGGGTGCTTAGTGGGCTGGGATGCCCACACGGCAGGACAGCGTCACTTGTGAGTGCAGACATCTCCTTTTGGCAGAGTATCTGTGGTTGAGCTTAGACAAGAAAAACTTTAGTGACCAAGACAAAAAGAAAGAAATTGGAGCATTGCAACAGAGAGAAGAGCCCCTTCTACCAGCCACGAGGGGCTATCATGGTGGAAAGGCAGGCCGCGCCCAGGAGACAGGCTAACCAAGCAGTGTGCTGTAGGATGGAGACCAGAGATGAAGCAGCTCCCTCCTCTCCTGGGTTTTGTGAACGAGAGAGGGCTCCAGAGGGTGGGAGCTGCTCCCTACCCCAACAATATGACCTTTATTACACCTTTACAAACTGTATACATTTTCCTCTCCCAAATCCCTTGTTACAGGATGATTTGTGCTTCTTTAATAATTATTTGGTGATGGTAGTGGTGAGTGAAAATATGCATGACACGACATAGACCAGTTGGGCAGTTTCTACCTGGACAATTCAGTGATGCTGCTGACATCCTGGAGGGGTGCAACTCTTCTCGCCCTCCTTTTCTGAGTTGTTCCTCCCCCACTAACCAACTCATGCCACCCTGAGGTTCCCATCTCATCCATCCTTCAGGTTGCTGCTGCTGTCACTTTGTCCCCTAGAGAGAGTCCTTAAGAGAACATGCAGCTCAAGCTGACATTTTACCACTTGAGCTGAACTGTTGTTTACTTTGAAGATGTCAGGGGATGTTGTCGGCTTCAGGTTAAAGATTATGACAGAACCATGATTTTAGAGGTTCATCCAGCCTCCATGACTCCTGAAAGTCTGGATTCCTTGAAAATTTGAAGTTTTGTTTTATATTTTCTCCCTTGTGCAAAAGGGATTTTTTTAAACTTCAGTTTTGTTGTTGTTGAAAATAGACCCAGCAAACCATTCACCAACTCAACCCATGTCTACACCCACAGTTCAGTGACATCGATTATATTCCTTGAGTTGTGCAGCAATTCCACCCCCTTCTCTGAGTTCTTCCTCTCCTATTAACCAAACTCATTGACCTCTAAGGTTTCTTAACCATTTTTTAAAGTTGCTATTGTCAGTTTGATCTGACAAAAAGTTGGTTGCGAAAATGGAATTAAAAGATGATGGAAATTTTTCACGAACTTTTTGAAGCCCCCTTGTCTCAAGGAGCAAAATGCCCAAAGCAGACATTTTTCACTAGGTAAGCTGAGATCTTGTTTGGTTTTAAGAAGTCTTCAGAAGGTATTTTTGGCTTAAGACTTAAAGACTATGTCAGAGCAGTAGTTTCAGGGGTTCATCCAGCCTTCATCGCGCCAGGAAATCTAGATCCCCTGAGACTATGACATTCTGTTCTGCATGGTCCTCCCCCCACCTGTCATCAGATTCCTTTGTCGAGTCCTGGATCAGTGTCTAGGAGTGACAGCTGGGCACCATCCAGTTCTTCTGGTCTCATGGCAAAAGTGGCAGTTGTTCATGAAGACAACTAGCCCACAAATTTCCTACCCTCCTCCTATACCTGACTTTCCTTTCTCTTGGACCAGGCTTATAGAAGTCATTTGTTGTGCTTGGAACGGCCTTTTATAAGCTGTTAAGACCCCGAATACAATGTAACTTGCGAAATCATTTATAATTAGCATATTGGAAACAAAAACTAGAGTAGGGAGCTCTATGTGCTTGTTGTAAGGAAGAGGCAGGATGTGATCGTTCATTTAGCATATATTTATTGAACGTTGTTTCATACTGGGCCCTGTACTAGGTACCAGGAGCTTAAGGTACAGAAGAACAACCCAGAGTTCTTGACCTCAAAGATTTTATTTTTATTTATTTATTTATTTTTTTACCTCAAAGATTTTAAAGTCCATTTAGGGCAATAAAAATTCCAAAACCAAATCCACTGCCATTGAGTGAATTCCAACTCATGGTAACCCTGTGTAGGGTTTCCCAAGACTGTACATCTTTATGGGAACAGACAGCCTCACCTTTTTCTCCCACGGTGACTGGTGGGTTTGAACCACCAACCTTGTAGTTAGCAACCTAACACACCTAACCCACAACACCACCGGGGCTCCTGTATTTGAAGAGGCAGGCATTAACCAAATAATCACCCACAAGTTGAGGCCAGTGGGGTCAGGATGAAGCTGGAGCATCTAGGGTGGTGCAGGGAAGGCCTTTTCCTTTTGGAAATTCTTAGTTTTAATAGCTTTTTATACTGTAAATAGCACAACCTAAAAGCCATGTCCCCAGAATACTTAGAAGAGTTGTTATATTGCACTGAAAGGCTTTATAAATGTGATAGAACAGTGATGTCTCATCTGCCTCCAGCTTTCCATGCTGCCCGATGTATCTGTTAACTCTGGAAAAGATTCCTGATCAAAAGGGGGGAGATGTAGACTTGGCGCTGCTCTCCTTCCCATTGTCTCCTGTATCTGATTCCCAGGTCCGGGCCTACCTAACATGTTGCAAACTACGTTCCGCTTACCTGATTGCCGTGAAGCAAGAACACTCGAGGGCCACTGCCCTCGTTCAGCAGGTGCAGCAGGCCGCCCAGAGCAGCGGGGATGCCGTGGTGCAAGACATCTGTGCTCAGTGGCTTCTGTCAAGCCACATGCGGGGAGGCCATGGCTCAGGCTCCAGGAAGTGACGCTGACCAGTGGAGCTAAAAAAAAAACAAAACCGGCAGTCTGAACTGTGGCTGCAGGAGCCGTGGTGTCTCCGCTCCCCAGTTGGGAAGAGCTGGACTGGTCCCCGCATGCCACCGTGGACATGGGTGGGACCTTTCACACAAGTGCCATGTTTTTGTCAAGTTGTGGGGTCTCTGTTTGTCTGGAGATGGCCAGTTCTTTCTACCTCAGAGTGAGTGTGAGTGAGTGAGTGTATGTCTGTGCACATGCACACACGTGTGCATGTTTCTGTGCCCTCATGTTTACGCCTGAGCATTTCTGAGAAAATGAAACTCTTCCAGAGAGAAGAGGCACTTTACTTTTAGCCTTTTGCCAGTCTGAAAACCTTCCCTGCGTGTGGGTTGTTGGCCCGGGTCGTCCTGTTTGTAACTGCACCCTCCCTCCGAGTGGAGACAGACACAGCAGTAGCTCCTTTTTATTTCTTTTGAACTGAAATTATTTCATTGCAAACATTTTACAGTATTTCTTTTTTATTTAACATTTCTGACATTCATGGCGACACCTCTTCTTTCATTTATAACAATAAATGTCATCTGTTCTCTCTTTTAGTAGCTCCTCTTCAGCACAAGGCTTTTACAGGAATGCTGAAGCAACACCAAAAGGATGGGCGCTCTTTTCCTTGTGTCCCCTACGAAAATCAAGAGTAAGAGGTGGCTGTGGGGCCAGTATTATCTGTGGACTAAAACTCTTGATAAGCACAAAGAGTTAAGGGGCACCTTTGGAAGGTAGTCTGCGTCAAGGATCCTCAGGGTGCTACCATCTGAAAGCTGCAGATGCAGAGCCAGGGAGGAGGGGCCCCGTCAAACAGCCCAGAAGGGAAGAAAAGGCAAAACCCTCTAGTTAGGACCCCAGGTGAGTTGCCCACGAGCACAGAGCTGACTTACTGGAACAAACCTGCTGCAAAATTGATGGGTAAGAGAATGTAACTCCCTTTTTGAAAAGCAAGGGAGACGCACCCAGGATCCTGGAACTGACTGGGTAGACTTTATTGAGTTATGGTCTATGTGAGCCCCTCAAATTGGCTGGGAGACCGCTTCTCTTCAGACTCTGTTGGGCCAAGGGAGGAACATGCGGATACCGGGGCCACTGGGAAAGTCGTGTGCTTCTTTTCTGTGTCTTAGAGTCTGAGTTAAACCTGTGGGACAAGAGAATGATGGGTGAAGAGAAGGTCAAGTCCCATTGGTGGGAAACTGGGTGAAGTGCTTCTCGGATATGCGTTAACCTGTCTTTCTACCAAAGATGGGCCTGTGCTTTAGTCAGGGTCAGTCATTGTCAGTGACTTCAATTGGCAAGCGAGGGGCCTCCCACCACCAGCACTCCGCCTGCTGATCTTGCATTATTGGCCGCTGAGGCCATAGGAACTGGAAACTGACCTTAGCATCTCTGGTGCTTAGAAACCCTATGATTTCACTCCAAGTCGAGTTTTTAATAACAAAATAAGCAGCTTGTGTGGGCATCTGTCCGATTAAAGGTTTCAACCCTATTAGAGAGGGAAAATACTGCCACGCAAATATTAGGTCCCTTTGGGGGAAGTTTGATGAGTGTTTTCACTTTCCTGGAGTCACAAAGGTTCTGTCTCCCAGGAACGCTCGCTCCCTGGCATCCATGTTTCCTTCTGAGTACCCCCACCTTTTTTTTGCACTGACCTGACGCACTTTATACTAATAGGTTGCAACTTTTGCAGCCCTTCATTTGTGTTGTTAAACCCAGACCTTCCTGACTTTCTGTCACTAGCTGAAGTGTAAAATCAGCAACCGTTGGACTAAACTGACATCAAATGAAGCTAAAGGCGTGGGAGCACCGCGCGCGCGGTGCTCCAGGAAAAAGAGAAAAAGAGCAAATCTGTACATACTGAAGTGTTGACTGCTGTACTGCAAAGAAGCCACAATAAAGTCTCTGGCCTACATGCTCTTACCTGCATTCTTATTATTTTTTCTTTTTTTAAGCTATCTGGCTCTTACTCTTTGCATTCTTTCTCCCTTGTATTCTGTATGAAGAAAAAAGGTAGGTGGGAAAAAATCAGATCTCTGAATGATCCTCACATGATCGATCGATCTTATGACACTCTGGTTAAGGTTTATCTCAAGCTTTATCCACGATAAACACTATTATACAATTTTTTGCCAGTAGACAACTTGTTTTTGATTTGCTTCATTTGGGGGTTGGGGCAGAGATGGGCAGCAGGGTCAGCGAGTCTCAAAGGTAAAGAAAAGTCTCTTCCTATTCATCTACCCAGTCCCCTCCCAGATGCCACCAGTGTTAATCAGACTCGAGGGTAGTTCCAGGAATTCATGACTAACGAATTCCATGGGGAGGATGTGCTATAATTATTTCTTTCTTTCTTTTATTTTTATAGTTTTATTAATATTCACAGTTTAGTAGTTTAAGTTTATTAAAAAGATTGGTGCATTCATCACATCAATTTTAGAACATTTTCTTCCTTTAGCTGTCATGAGCATGTGTGTGTGTATGTGTGTGTGTAAGCCAAATTCAGAATCTTTAAAACAAGGGGTAGGGTTTTAGGGATCATCAGAATCTTAATTTTGCCTCTTTGGCAAAATTCTTGCCTCTTGGGGGCAAACTTTACATGACACTTGAACTGCGGGCAGTGCTTTGTGCCATTGCCTCTTTTCCTAGAAATGGGATCTCGTCCCGTTTCCCAATTGAAAAAACCCACAGCAAACACAAAAGTAATGAACTAGACCTTCAGCCATCAGTGCAGACATGGTGCATCCCAACAGAGACAAGTAGAACACCTAACTTAAATTTAGGATGGATGATCATTGACCCTGTTTCACAGCCTGAGATGCTACAAAGGTACCTGATATTCTTGGCTGAAGCTTAAGCAAAGTAGTTGAAAGACTAGTACATTCTGAACACCCCAGCAACCAAGTATCAACAGTCATAGTAACCCTGAAGGTTTTCTTGGTTCTCATTCCCTCTTCCACCTGGACAGGTTTGACTGACACGTCCTTGAGGCTTGTACTTGAACAAGTGTGTTCAGCATCTGGCTATTGACTGCTTCCTTCAGAGTGCTGTCCACTTCATGTTCTCATTTCTGCTTGGACCCCTTCCTTCAACATTACTCAGCCCCCCAGCCGACCATTATCAAAATCCCACAGTGCCACACCAAATGCCATCCTACACAGGACTTCCCTCTGGCTCTACATCTTATTCATCCCACTTAAAGACAGAAATTCCCAAAGATTCTATCCCTTCTCTCTTGACACTCTTATCTTCTCATAAAATCTGTGCCTTCAGCAATCATCTTTATCTCATCTTGGAGAGCTAAGCCAAATTTGTCACCTACACGGCTCTTGAGCATTGGATCTGCCTTTGGCTGCCTCCTGGACCTCATCAACATGGTTCCCTTTTCACCGGAAGCATGCGCGCATCCAAATGGAACACATCCTCTTCCACACGAGCCTGATCGTCCTTTCATGGTCACCATCACTATTACTGTGCATGCACCCAGATTAAGAACCTCAAGGGTTCCCTGTGTTGACTATTTCTTCCCCCTCATTCAAGGATTTGAGTACCGACCATGCATCAAATATACAACCAGCCAAAAGCCACGTCCTTTCACCCTACTGGAGTCCTTGGGTGGCACAAATGGTTAAGCGCTCTGCTGCTAACCAATAAGTTGATGATTTAAATCCACCCAGACGTACCTCAGAAAACAGGCCTGGAAGTCTACTTCCAAAAGATCTCAATCATTGAAAAGTCTTAGGGAGCACAGTTTCCTGTACAACTGGTGGGGTTTTGATAAGTCAGAATCTACTCTAATTGGGGTTTTGAAGCCCAGCTTCCTCATTGGAAGACCCTATTTCTTCTGCTGCATCACGTTAAGGAATTTGCTAACCTCCTGATAGTTGCCCAAACCCTTTCCGTCACCTCAAACACTCATCTTACAATCGCTTCATTGATCAACTCCACATTAACAAATAATTTGAGAAACAATTATTGGTAGTCATGAGGTATGAAAAGTCTAAGCAGATAGAAACGTTTGAAGTAATTTTATATCCATATTTATTGCTTATGAAAATAATTTTTAACTACAACCAATAAAATGTAAAAGACCATCAAAATCTAAGGGGTGAAATGTTACCTAAATAGAGGACTTCAAACCATATGGGAGAAGTTTTCATTATCTTTTGATTCCATTTTCTGTAGATTTTTTGAAGTCCCATCATGCAACGAAAGCCTAATATCCTTAATTGACAAGCATTTTCACTTAAAGATAATACTATAACCCAATTATAAAAAATGCATAAAGGATAGAAATATAACAGCAATAGTGGACTTTTTCATTTGCATATTCCCCTAACCTCTTTCCTCAAAAGTAACCAAGGTGAAGAATTCCTTGTGATTTTCTCCAGAAAAATCTAAAATGTACCACATGTTAATTTGCACCAAAGACTATAAATAATGCAGACTATTAAATGTTTGGCTTTTTTCCCCTTGCCTAATAATCTTGGTCATGTTTTAATCTCACCACAACAAGCATGCCTTGTTATTCATGATTGTAGCATACTCTACTGTATGGGCATACCACAATCTATGCTAAACAACAGCTTTGTTGCCGGTTCCTTTGGATTTTTCCCCCCATTACAAAGCACATTCTCTGTACAGTTTCTACCATTCCTCTATCAGTGTGTCATGCTGTGGTGGCTTGTATGTTGCTATAGTGCTGCAAGGTATTATACCCAGAGTTCAAATACCTGCACAGTCATCACCCAGGGTGCTTTCAGTTACCATCCAGTCATTCTGACTTGAGCCCTGGCAGGTGTCATTGGAGCCTCCAGACTAAGACAAACTAGGAAGAAAGACCTGGAATCTACTTCTGAAAAATCAAGCAAGGGAATCACAACAGAGCATGTATAGTATGTGGGAATCAGACCAGGAAGAGAGTATGAGCACAAATGCTCAACATTCAGATGGTAAGGCGTCTGGGAGCCCAAAGCTCCAGTGGAGGAAGCCTTCACGTTCGTGGGTTGGGGATGCGTTCCACTCACATTCTCCTAAGTAAAAGTCATTCCCCATGATGTCCCCCAATAATAATGCCAAATCTAAGGTGCTTGGAGGTCAACTGCTTAAAGCTATCTGCCTAAAGGTTATCTGCCATCAAAGGCAATCCAATCCTATTGTCTATCCCACCCTCGGCAGGACCCACTCCTTTCTGATAATTATGGATTGTTCCCCTGGAGGACAGCTCAAAGACACCTAAGGCCAAGCCAACTCAACAAAGGTTAGGCTGCCATCTTGATTCTAAAGCCCACCCATCTTGCTACCTTTTTGCCTTCCCACCCCTTCCTATTGTGTGCACAGCCCTAGCTCATTCTCCTCATGTTACCTGTATGCCTATTGTACAAACCCTTCCTGTTAACACAGGTGCTTACAGTGACCTGCGTGCCCAAGATTATATAAACTCGTGAGATTACATCTCCCTCGGCTCAGACCTGGCTCCTGAAGTCATGACTGAGAGGTGGGTGAGTCCTTGCATGCTTTCTTAACTGATGTCGCTTTAATTTACCCCTCAATTACACAACCGCCCCCGGGGCCCATTTGGTTGTGGGGAGGCTGGTCCCCCACAATTGTAGTACTGTGAAATCAGTCCTTTATGTTGGAAATCAGTGCACAATGGCTGTAACCAATGACCATGCCAGGTATCATGAAGATAGCACAGAACCAAGAGACTTTTTGCTATGTTGTACATAGGGTTTACCATGAGTCAGAGCCAAGAAGAATGTGATTACCAGCAGCATGAACAGATATAAACAACACCCTCCCCTTGGATGAGTTAGTGCCCTGTTCCCCTGCTACCCATGTCTATCCCCCACGCCACCCCCCATTCTTTTCCCCTCCTTTTTAGTTGGCTGCCCTATGTATCCCTGGATTGGGTCTGGCCCTGCCATAGTACCTGGACCTCAGCCCAGGAATGTATATATACAGTAGCATTTCCTTTATGCCCCTTTTGCATTTTAAAGCTTACCTCAGCAGACTCATGTTGTACTTGTCCTTTTGTGCTTGCCTTACTTTGCTTAGTATAATTTCCTCCAGTTCTTCCCATGTGGTGATGTGCTTCATGTGTTCATCACTGCTTTTTAGGGATGCATAATATTCCATTGTATGTATGTACCATAGTTTGGTGGGGTTTTTTTAATCATTTTATTGGGGCCAAATACAACTGATCACAATCCATGCATACATCCATTGTGTCAAGCACATTTGTTGCTATCATCATTTTCAAAACATTCTCTTTATACTTGAGGCCTTGGTATTAGCGCCTCATTGTCCCCCTCCCTCTCCCACCCTCTCACCCTTGATAATTTATAAATTTTTTTTTCATATCACAGTTTTAATCCATCCAATGATGGAAATTTGGGTTGTTTCCATTTCCTTGCAATTGTGAACTGTGCCACGATGAACATTGGAGCTCAGATGTCTGGCCGTGGTTTGTTTTTTCTCTTCCAGGTACATGCCCAGTAGGGGGATTGCTGGATCATAGGGTAGCTCCATTTCCATCTGTTTTAGATATCACCAAATCTATTTCCATAATGGCTGTACATACCTACAGGTCCACCAGTATGGGACGAGAGTTCCTATCTCACCACAGCCCCTCCAACACTTGTTACTTTCTGATATTTTGAATTGGGCTATCTTTGAGCATGTTAGGTGGTATCTCATTGTTTTAATTTGCATTTCTCTTATGGCTAATGATCAGGTATATTTTCTTGTATGTTTATTGGCCATTTGGATTTCTGCCCTTGTGAAACTTTTGTTAAGGTCCTTTGCCCATGTCCTCAGTGGGCAATTAGTATTTTTTCTTTTTGGAAGCTAGCAGAGTACTATAGATTTTAATAATAAGACCTTTGTCTGATGTGTCACTGCTAAAGATGTTTTCCCAGTCTGTG